TTGCTTTCATGATAGTTCAGTTTTCACGAAGCCCTCCACTCTCCAGAAAGGTTTTTCAGGGTACAGTTTATTTCACATGCTAGGTAACATCTTCAGTGCTAGAATGGAGTGGAGTTTGCTCTCTGTTTATATACAGAGAATATATAAACATACTCCACTCCATTCTAGCACTGAAGATGTTACCTAGCATGTGAAATAAACTGTACCCTGAAAAACCTTTCTGGAGAGTGGAGGGCTTCGTGAAAACTGAACTATCATGAAAGCAAGTAGGATAAGAGTTTTAAAGCACTTCTACACTGAACTGTAGAAATGTTGACAACATTTTACAAAGTTGTATGTGGAATATAAGTGGCTATTTCTGATCTCACACACTTGTACAGTAATGTTCTCAAGGCTTTCCCAAAAAATAAGAAAATCATCATCAAATAGATTCATATCTGAACAACCTATACAATCATTAATTTAGAAACTGCTAAACAGCTTGGTGTTCTGGAGATTCTATAATGCACTGTTCCCCAGCCTTGTATCATCTGGATGTGTTAGCTACTCAGAATGACCAATCACCATTAGCTTTTGGCCACGGCATCTGGAGCGGAGAAGACTTTTCTAATGCAATCTTTAAATTCCATCAATAATATATTCTTTCTAGTATCATTATTCAGATATCAAGCTGAGTAGCCAAAGACACATCAAATTGCTCAAAGAGACTGAAATACAGCTTTGAATCTTATACTCCAAGAGCCTTGCATTGTTCTCTCACAAAGAACTCTAAACTACCCTGATGGATCACACAGAAGGGCTTTCTAGTTCCAACATTCTGTGTCTCACAATGGCCATTCAGAAGCCTGTGGGAAGCCTACAAGCAGAAAAGGCCAAAAACAAAATGACCTAGAAAAACTGGAAGACAACAGATTTTTGGCATAGTGTTAAGATACCATTTATCTGAAACAATATATATTGGTATTGTCTCTATAGTTTCCAATGTTAAAACAGTCATTGTATCAAATGTATATTTTCCTTACAATGCAGTTTCGACTGGCAAGATTCCAGATTACTGCCAATGATTTTGTTAACTTCTATCACAATGCAGCTTTCTCCAAATACACTGTGTGCACAATTATTAGGCAAGTGAGTATTTTGGCCATATCATCATTTTTATGCATATTTTCCACCTCCAAGCTGTAGAGACCTGAATGCTTATTGGATATAAGCATATCAGGTGATGTGTATTTGTATAATGAGGGAGGGTGTGGCCTAAGGAGATCAACACC